CGAATGCTCTGTTGTGAATCTAGATCCCGCCAACGACAAGACGAACTATCCTTGTGCGCTAGATATTCGCGAATTAATTACGTTGGAAGAGATCATGAGTGACGATCAACTTGGACCCAATGGTGGCATACTATATGCGTTTGAAGAACTCGAGAACAATATGGAGTGGCTTGAGAATGGTTTGAAGGAGCTGGGAGACTCGTATATTCTTTTCGACTGTCCCGGTCAGGTTGAGCTATATACGCACCACAACTCACTCCGGAACATCTTCTTCAAGCTCCAGAAGATGGGCTACCGGGTATGCCCTTCCGTTGAAGATGCTATCTGAAGCGTTTCCGCTGACAAAACCACAGCTTGTTGCTGTTCATCTTTCCGATAGCTTCTGTCTTACCCAACCATCCCTCTATATTTCCAACCTACTCCTGACTCTCCGCGCCATGCTCCAGATGGATCTGCCACACATAAATGTGCTCACCAAGATAGATAAGATCTCGTCGTACGATCCGCTGCCTTTCAATCTCGATTACTATACCGAGGTGCAAGACCTATCATACCTGCTACCATACCTTGAGGAGGAATCTCCTGCAATGCGGAGTGATAAATTCCGTCGACTAAACGAAGCCGTCGCCAATCTTGTTGAGAACTTTGCGCTGGTGCGCTTCGAGGTTCTAGCAGTCGAGAACAAGAAGAGCATGATGCACCTCTTGCGAGTCATCGATAGAGCCGGAGGATACGTATTCGGTGGTGCAGAAGGAGCAAACGACACAGTCTGGCAGGTCGCAATGCGCAATGAAGGGTCCATGATGGAAGTGCAGGATATCCAAGAGAGATGGGTTGATGCAAAGGAGGAATACGATGTGGCAGAAGAGAAGGAATGGGAAGAGCAGCAGAAGAGAACCGGAGGCGATACTGGAGCCACGACGCCGGACCTGATTCCAGACGATGACGACGATGAGTTCGATGGCATGCTGCCTCCTATGGGCGATAGTGGAGTGAAGGTTGTACGAAGGAACCAATGATGCCCTTTCAACCGTCACTTATTTCCCCCATTTCTACATCGCTGTCGTTATCTCCGATTCCTGGTAAGTCCGTCATAGTAACTTCACGTGGCGGTCGTTCCGATTTTCCGAATATATTGCTGAAGGGATCATCAGTCTTCTCCTTTTGGTCATTTTGCGCGGCGAAGATAAGGTTCCGGGCGCGACGAATAGCTTCTTCCTCGGCTTTGCGCATAGTGCCGCTGACGTGGACAACGCGGAAGATGCACGGCTTTCCGTTCTTCACTGGAACCGAGGTCATAAATGTGAGAGAAGCCCAGAGTAGGCGATATGAGGACCGCGAAACTCTCAGAATGAAAGTAGAAGTGGCATGAGAGAAATATTTAACTGCAGGGTTTATGTAAGACTTGTATAACTCGTAAGGGGTTTCGCGTTGCTGACTCACTTGATAAGTTTCCACCCTCGAGAGCACCCGAGCCATAGTCCCCAAATAAACCGGCAGCCTCTGCACGTATACCCCTAAGGAGAGCAGCGGGATTGAGTTGGTCGGTCGTGGGCTGGTTGATCACCACAACATCAGGGAGATTAGGCCGGTTGCCCAGTTCATTTGGGTAGAGAATCTTCACCAGGAGATAGCGCTCCTTGATTCGTACCATTTTATCTGATTTCGAGGACCATCAAATTCTAAATCATTTAGAATCATCTGGGCGTAATAGAGATACGATGGATTTATAATGGAGACTTCAACAGCTTGAGCGACCGAGACCTATGAGTGAACAAATGAACTCACCTGGGCAGCTATGAAATTTCCGCTCTGTCTGCCAAAGCCTTATCTTATCGGCGGTCTGTGGGGACCTTGTCGGCTACAATACTAATACAGTGCGATTCGTGGTGTTTGTGACTTTAGATACTGTATGACATACCTGCTGTTAACCTCAACAATGCCATTGTCTATAGAAGTCGCACCAACTCAACCTGTGCTTTCTCAAGTAACAAGGCTTCTAGGGAAAGTCTATGTATGTGTCTTTGTATTTTTGTGTTGGCCTAATGCATTTGGAAAAATGTCCTAACTGATAAAAGATGAACTGTCAACCTTATATAAGTGATTACGGATGTATTTCTCACCCCGCATTTGCACTGTAATGAAGCTTCTCTCATGTACGCGGCGCCGGCACAGGGTCACTTACACTGAATTCTATCAACCACTTGAATATATTGTGCTCGAGATAGCCCCTTCTTAATCGAAGTCTTGAGATATATCTGCATTTAGGGAGGAGTTGATTCTCTGGGTCCTATAGTCACGCAGTCTCTCATCAGGCATCATGTCTAATGCGACGTTAAGTGTCGCATTACTCATCGTCTCCACGACCGCAGCCAGAGATCCTTCTACAGATGCCTCTCAAGCTGCTCTTAGCGATATCATTGAGAAGGAGGGCGACGGAAAATGGGAACTTATCGATACCAAGATTGTTCCTGACAATGTCATCCAGATCCAGAGACAGATTATGAAGTGGACGGATATTGCAGCAGAACCCATCAACCTCATCCTGACCACCGGGGGCACTGGCTTTGCAGTAGCCGACAACACTCCAGAGGTATGTGAAACGATTCAAAGTGTAAATAAAAGGTAGAACTCGAGCTAACCAAACCAGGCCGTATCAGCTCTACTCCATAAACCAGCACCTGGCATCGTTCACGGCATGCTAACAGCCTCTCTGAACGTTACCCCATGTTAGTATATTAACTTACTACCTAATTAACGGTTAGAACAACTACTGAAATTGAACAGTTGCTATGATGTCTCGACCAGTTGCAGGGGTCAGGAACAAATCCATAATTATCACACTTCCAGGTTCACCAAAGGGGGCTCGGGAAAACTTACAAGCAGTACTGAAAACATTACCACACGCGTGTCTTCAGGCTGCCGGTATGGATTCAAGATCATTACATGCGGGTGGGGTTAAAAAGCTTGAAGCAGAAGCGGGCATTAGGCCGGGCGGAGGCCACTCGCATTCTCATGACCATCATCATGGTCCTGAAAGTGCCCACCAGCACGGCCATAGTCATGGTCATAGCCATGGCCACGGTCACGGTCACGGAAGCTTGGTCAGACACACGACACCTAGCTCAAACCCAATGTCCAATGACCCCAGCCTCGGTCCTAGCCGGAGAAACAGAGAATCGCCATATCCAATGCTTTCGGTCGACGATGCCCTAAGCAAGATCAAGGAACACACACCAGCACCAGAAATAGTCACGTCTAAAGTGGATAGGTCACTGCCTGGTCATGTTCTGGCCGAAGATGTTCAAGCCAGAGAAAATGTGCCCGCTTTCAGAGCAAGCATTGTCGACGGATACGCAGTTGTTGTTCCCAAGGACGGGAATTTGAAGGGTGTCTTTCCCGTCGTCTCAGTATCTCATGCTGCACCAGGCGATGTTAAACCCCTGAAGGAAGGTGAGATAGCTAGAATAACAACTGGAGCGCCGCTACCGCCAGGAGCCACTTCAGTAATCATGGTCGAGGACACTATTCTGAAGACTATGACTGAGGATGGTAAAGAAGAAAAAGAAGTGGAAATTCTCGCTGATAATGTGCAGGAGGGAGAGAATATCCGTGAGGTTGGCAGCGATATCAAGGCAGGGACAACAATTCTTAGCAAGGGTGAGCAGATCTCAGCTGTTGGTGGTGAGATAGGTCTCCTTGCAGCCGTCGGGGTTGCAGAAGTGAAAGTCTATCGCAAGCCGGTTATAGGGGTGTTATCAACCGGAGACGAGATTGTGCAGCATGATCGACCAGGGGATTTACGTCTGGGTGAAGTACGCGATACTAACCGCATCACATTAATGTCTGCTGCGAAGGAATGGGGGTACCAGGTTGTCGATCTCGGTATCGCGGCAGACAAGTCCGGCACGTTAGAAGAGACTCTGAGAGACGCCTTGCGACAAGTCGATCTTATTATCACGACCGGAGGCGTTTCAATGGGCGAACTTGACCTCCTGAAACCGACAATTGAGAGGTCATTGGGCGGGACGATCCACTTTGGCCGCGTTGCTATGAAACCAGGCAAACCGACGACGTTTGCCACTGTTCCCGTCAAGAATAACGCCGGCGAGCGAGTTACGAAGGTCATATTCTCCTTGCCTGGAAACCCTGCCTCGGCGATCGTCACATTCCACTTGTTCGTCTTGCCTTCTCTTCACCAGATCTGCGGTGTCTCGCCGGCCGGTCTGACGAAGGTCCCCGTCACCCTTGCGCATGACTTCGTCTTAGACAAGACGCGGCCTGAGTACCATCGCGCCATCGTTACAGTGGGCAAGGACGGTAATCTGATTGCTGCTAGCACGGGCGGCCAACGGAGTTCCAAAGTTGGCAGTCTGAGGGGTGCTAATTCCCTATTATGCATGCCTAGCGGCAAGGAACCTCTCAAAAAAGGGTCAAAAATCGATGCTCTTCTAATGGGTGGTATTAGGAGCGAGCTCTAAATGTTGCAACGGTCTCGCTAGCGCGCTTGTGGCCGTAGCGGAAAGTTGTTTGCATTTGACGCCTCCACAACATACTGTGCCGGCCACTTCCGGAAGCACACATGTATGGCCACGTGAGATCTTCCGTAGTCGCTACGGATACTCATGGCCTGCTTATAAACAAAGTGTCATATATAGAGAGAGCAATGACATGAAATTGAGACCTTGGGAATATTGCCAGCTAATGCCGGAGTGTTCTATCACCACGAAGATTTTTAGCACGGCCCAACGAAATAGTTTCTCCACTACCAACCCTGCAATGTTCGCAGCCATATTGCCCCCTTAGTCCTAGCAGGACTCGAAGTGACAGCCGGTCGGTACGCAAGTGGATTTTTCTGTATTCGCTTAATTAGGGCAGCCCCATCCGTAGACCCATCGTCCACCTATTCATTGAGCCTCAGTTCTATAATCAGACATACGACGCCGAAATTTTCATCCAGGAGCATCCAGTCTCTGACCGGTTCTCCATCAAACCAAGCCGGGCTTGTGGTTTAGTGGTATAATACTCCCTTAGCACCGACGACCAACCTTACGATGCCTATCCAGGTGTTGTTCGGGTCCGTCTAAGCCTGGGAGTGGTCCGGGGTTCGATTCCCCGCGAGTCCATCACATGGAGGTTAGATTTCTCTTGTGCCACCAATTTTTTTCTTTTATTTTATTTTAGTCTGTCTAACGATAGCGTGCCATATGAGATTTTCCAATTTTTAAACCATGATCCCCTTCCTGTTCTGAAATCGTTGGATATAATCGTAAGTGCCCAATCTATCGATGCTCAAGAGATCATAATATCATCGCTTCATTTATAATATCCTTTCCAAACCTTCTGTATCAACGCCTGGCGCCTCGATGTGAAAATTTGATGGAAATAGCTGTCTTAGTAAGCCCCCAATCAGGCTTCTAAGCAAATCTAGTAAGTTTAGGAGGCATAACCCTACATCAGGTATGTATCGTTCTCAGTGGTAGGGTTTCCAAAATCAATTACCAGCCACGGAGAGATTCGTTTCGGCTTCTCCAACCCGCGAATCTGGCCCCGTCTTACCCATCATCGCGCCATTGTCTACCACGATATCAGGGACATGTTTCCTAGGCACCCAGAAAAGCTGCACAATTCCGATTACCCCAACGCCAGCGCAGCTAAACCAAGCGGCTGCGGAGCCACCAGCGCTGTAGATGATACCGACTACAGGAGGTGATACAGTTCGAGCTAGACAACAAGCTGACATTGCCAGTCCATTGACTTTCCCCAGCACCGACGGCGATGGGGTGGCGTCTTTGAGTAAGATAAGCGCACAGGGAATAACGACAATGCCGAAGAAGCACTGCAGGATCATGGAGAAATATATGGCAGGGGATACGAGAACGGATGGCATGGCAGACAAGAAGGGCATGATCACGTATGCGAGGGGATAAAGAATAACGTTGACGACGAATGACCTCCAGACTCCGACGCGATCAACGAATATGGGGAATATGACACCTTGGATGAAGAGTCCAAGGATCCCGTTTATGGACAAGTAAACGCCCACGTCATGCACGGTGTATCCCAAGCCACCGATCAAATCAATTTGGCCGGGGGCTGTGGCTGGTTTATCCAGGAGATGAGTGGGTAGAAGAGTGTTGAAGGCCATCTGGTGGTATGAAACCAAAACTAACGCAACGGTTATCATGATTATGGTAAAATTGAAGGCTTTGCCATTGAAGCTCTCATTTTGCTTGGGCGGCGCCGGAGGTAGCTTGATCGAACACACAGTCCCGAAAGACGATCTCCTCAGATCGAAGTTCTGCTCAACTGGCACCGGCAGGCTCTCCTCGATGAACACCGGCCTGTCAAGGGTGGTTCGCGATTGACTCCTGGCAGATGAGTGCCGGTTGTTGGAGCGATGAAGTGGAGTGCGCTCGTCAATAATGTCGTCGCCGTCCTCGAAAACGTCTTCGTGGGAGGTGACTTTACTACCTCGTGGATTGGTCTCTTCGAGGAAGAGCATACCCTGGATAATGGCTAATATGATGACGACGACCGACACGAGGTTCGGCAGAAGGTACGGGTATCTTCCGAAGAGGCCATCGGCGGGGAATAATGAAGGGTAGAATTTTGCCGGTTGAGCTAAGAACCCTCCCATGGCGGATCCGATGATGCCACCCAAAGTCCATACGAAGGGCTGCGAAGCGTAAGCCTTCGGTTCATGTGCGGGGTTCTTAACCATCTCGGCCACCATCGTCTGCATGACCTGCCATCAAAGTAAGCACTTCGAATTCTTTGGAGACGGAAATATAGCTCATGAAACCAGTGAGGAGAGAATGCAATAATGGAAGGGTTACGGCCCATCAATAGTAAAAAGACCGAATTCACTCACAGCGACATTGCCGTTCAATGCTCCACCGATGAATCTGGCCAATAGCGCTACCCAGTACTCGGTGGCCAACCCGAAGATAAGGCTCGAAATGGCCACGCCTCCGAGCCCGAATAGGACAACCGGCTTTCTTCCGTACCGGTCGGAGAGAGCGCCCCAACCAATGGCCGTCAAGGCTTCGGCGACGGCGTACGCCGAGACCAGGAGACCGGCGTAGAATGATGCATCGGTATCATCTCCGCCGTGGAGATCCTGGACCATCACATAAGTGTAGGCGAGGATCGAATTGAACGCGATCGGTTCTGAGAAGCGACATATTGCTACCAATGGGGTTCAGTCAAGAGTCCGTCTATCAGCGTTAGGGGGACCTCGTGGGGGGTTGCATACCAAGGATAGTGAGCTGCTTGGTAGGAAAGGCATGTGAATTCGGATCCTGTGTTCTGTCTGAAGACATAGTCTAGACTTTGCCACTAATCCAATAGACGTGTGATTCGGCGCACTTTAGTCCTGCGATTTTCTTCAACGTACTAGCTCTAGGAGCTCTGTTGTTGGAGAAGATTGCTGATCCCACCCAGCATGAAGAAGGTGGTTAGAAGACGGGTTTTTGCTGCTGTGCGGGGAAGCACGCTTTGCGAGGTCGGCCTGAGGCGCGCATCGTCGATCACTGTCCATTCTTTGGAGTTTACTCGGCAGAACATCCTTGCATGCTCAGGATGTGGTCTGACAAGACGTTAGTTATGGGATCACAGCGTCAAGTGAATGGATTGAAAAGAACGTTGTGAACCCGTGAAGATAAATATAAGACTAGGAACTACTGGTAAGGATGTTTCCATGATGCGTGGTCGGTAGCCGACGTAAGCACCGCGCCCGGATCACCTAGTTCCAATTTGCGAGTCTCAAGTACCGTATTCTATTTATGTACCTGTCATTACCAAATCATCTAGACGCTTTTATCTATACATGGGTATATCCGTAGGTAAATTGCATTATTTTGACCTATTCCAACCAGTACTCGACTCCAAGGAATGCATGCAGAAGTTAGATTTCAACTTCCGCGAAGGGGGTACCACTCGGTCGCAACGGGTTCTGCTAGTCGTCTTCGCCTGAATCATCGTTATCTTCACTGAGAGGACCAATAAGTATCGATTTAATTGGGCTGAAGACGCTCTTGACGTCAACATTATCCCTGTAGATATTTTGACGGTTAGTTCAATTAATCATAGAAGGAAGCAGGTTAGAGCGGGTTAAAGGAGGAAGGGGATGTAACCCACCGGCCATCACGACGACCAGAACGGTCCAAGTAGCCAAGATGCTGCCTCCCGTTTGCGGCGTCGCCAAACCGCACGAAATGGAACGAGATGTCATTCTTATCCAAACCCCTTTCCTCCAGTTCATTCCTCAGCCGCGAGAGTGGCCGGCCTACGCCGCAGGCCTCTCTCCTTTCCCTATCCCCCCAGTTTCCATCAGTGAAGACATAGATACTAGTGGGCTTCTTCGGAAAGAAGTTGATTTTAATACCGAGTATCCGGTTTGGCAGGCGCGGAATGATCACCTTGTTGACGAGGCCTCCGAAGGAAAGCTCCATCATATCCGGCCCTCGCCGGTACTGTTGATTCGCCACTAGCTGGATCAATTTCTTTCTCCGGCGACTGCGGTGCAGATACCCTGGATCTGATGCGAAGCAAAGCTCAACCTTGTGTCCCTCCAGCTCTCTAGTTAGATATAGCAACGCGGGAAACGCTTTCTCGACCATGTTCGCGTGTTCTTTCATCGATGTCGAGTTGTCGATGAAGATCAAATGATGTCTGCCGGGAATATTGACCTTAAGATCGTTCACGAGCTCCTCTATATACCCGATAGCAGAGCCCGTAGGACTGTTTGCGTGACGACCTGCAGCTTGCTGCCTTGCGAGGATCTCTCCCAGGTCCGCTAACGACATGTTCCCAGGCTCTGTTACAACCTGCCGGTCCAAAGAATCGACATCAGGAGTGAATTTAAGTGAATTTTGGTCTGGCGAGTCGAATATCTGCTGGAACTTCTCTTCTAATTGCTTGGCGTTGTAGCGGTCATTGACGTTGGCAAGCAACATGTGCTTGTCCATGATGTCAATGATGCGTGGTGTGATAGTGTCATTGACGGACTGGCAGTGCTCGCGAATGCTTCTGTGCATCTCGTCAACTACAGGCAAACGGGAGACACCATCGTGAAAGCAGCCTTCATAGTCGTTCCCTCGAAATGTCCGAATGGTCCGATGGTGAGCTATACGCCGGTTACGGTACCTAACTATCTCGTCATGGCCCCCTTTTATCCATGCACAAACATCGCTGAGGACAGCACCGAAAGAGAAGATATCAGATCTAGTGTTGATCATATTGGGGGCTTTCTCGGTATATGGGGCATTATGGCTACTTTCGGGCGAACCTGTTCATGTCAGAGCGGAACAGAGGAGTAGCTCAGGGGCAACGCACTGTAGAGTTGGTTCCCAACTTTATCGAGTCCCATTGCCTCACTACTGTTTGCATTTGATTCTCTGACGTGCGTAAACAGCCCGAAGTCTGCGATCTTAGGAACGAAGTCAAAACGCGAGCCTGATGGCCCTCTGAAGAGTAATATATTCTCAGGCTTGATATCTTCGTGAATCCTAGAGGGTGTTAGCCAACTTGGTGAGACACATCGGGTGGGTGGCCTTCGCATTCTATCGTTCATCTTACCCATTGACATTCTTTTCACCGGAGTTCATCAAGTGATGTATAGAATGAAGACCTTTAAAACTATGAGATAAGCTCTCCCAAACCTGCTGGATCTCGGACCCTTTCGGGCTTTGGGTTGTCCTGAGGAACTCGGCGAGATCTCCTCCATCGGCGTACTCGAGTATTATGTTGAAAGTATTGTTTTGCCGGAAAGAACCATAGTACGTTATGACATTAGGAGGACGTGAGTTCTTCAGCACTCGTAGAGCTTTGACTTCATTTTCGTAGAGCCTCAGGAATTTAGGGCGATGGTATGTCTTTAGTGCGAAGATATTTTGGATTGGTCGGCCTTTCCCATCCTATTTGCAAAGGGGAAATAAGTCAATAACAGCTTTGCTATGATTTGAGGGGCAGGGTGAGTACCTGTGGCACAAGGGAATTGCACAAGTCGTGGATTTTTATCTTTTGGACGACCGCCGCATCGCCTTGTATGACCCTGCCGTGGGAAAGTCTATCCATTTTTATGATAGGCAGTATCTGTCTAGGATCAAGGTGACGATCTTCT